GAGTAACGAGGGAGAAGAGCAGTTACCTCTGACACAGCCATGTTGCTGATCACAAGCATCTTCCCCCCAGGGACTTTGCTCTGGAGAATGCTGCGGAAATAGATGACTTTTACCGCATCATCAAGAGACAGGAGGCCAGAACAGTGAGCGGCTGCAACCTCGCCAACAGAGTGTCCAAGTATTGCATCGGGCTTGACTCCCCAGTGTCTGAGTAGGGTGGTAATGCCAACTTGGATTGCAAAGAGCAGTGGTTGGACAACATGTGGGTTGTTGAAGTCACTACCCTCAAACTCACTCTCAAGTGTGTCCAAGATGTCCAACGTACTCCGTCTTTTGAAAAGTTTTGCAATCTCTTTGATCTTACATCTGAATATAGGCTCGTGTTTTAGTAGTTGTTTGCACATGCCATGGTAAGTGACGCCATTTCCGCAAAAGACAAACACTAACCTCGGATCTGAGTAGGACGGGCGAATATTTTTGCCCACAGTGGCACTTAACTTCTCTTTAAGATCGACTGCAGATGAAACAACGATGGCCTTTCTGTATTTATGCTTTAGATGGCTCCTCCTACAAGCTGATGTGTACAACAGAGAATCTAGATCAACTATGCTATCTGCTTCTAGCTGTTTAATGGTGTCTTCCGTCATCAGAGTAAGAGATTTTTGTGAATTTGCCGACATGACAAAATACTTCTCCCGTTTCCCACTATTCTTTTGCTCAATGCGTGACTGTTTGTACTGTTTGACAATGACGTGTGCATTTGTACCCCCAAAGCCAAAGTTGTTCACTCCTGCAATTCTTGCACTGGAGGATTCCCACTTCTCTACTTCTTTAGGAACTTTAATGTTCAGGGCTTTGGCATCTACACTGGCAGACTCCTCAGAGTAGAAAACTGAGGGAACGATGGTCTCATGCTTCATCATTAAGAGTACCTTAATAAGTCCGGCCACTCCAGCAGCAGATTCTGTGTGTCCAATGTTGCCCTTCACAGAGCCGATACGTAGTGTCTCTGAACCAGGAGGTCGGGCTTTAGCGATGGCGTTTGAAATGCTTCCTGCCTCTGTTGGATCTCCAACTGGAGTTCCAGTCCCATGTGCCTCTATGTACCGGACATCTGCAAGGTCAGACTCTGAGTAGATTCTGCGCAGGAGTTCCTCTTGTTGTGTCATGGAGGGTTTGGTGATTGGAGTGACTGAGTGTCCGTCTTGGTTGACCGCTGTTTTGCTGATGATACCCCAGATATTGTCACAGTCTTGTATAGCCTGTAATGCAACAACAAGACTGAAATGGCTATGGATATATAAAAACATGGGAACTGAATAAAATGCTATTTAGTTGGTGGAGAAACACAGGGCTAACAGGAACTAGTAAGTTGCTGATTAATATAACATTATGGGTACTGTTCCGATTTCCCAACACATTTCTTAGTTACGGGAAGTCAGAATCTGAATTTTGCTCTACTATCTGATCGGGTTGCTTTTATAATAAAAAAGAACTTCTTTTACTCTGCATATTCTGACCTTTTTCAGCGGCTTGAGGAGAACGACCCCGCAGCCCTCTCCTCTTCCATAACCATCTGCTCTGTTGGAGAAGGGTTTGCTGGTTCCTTCAGCTGAGATCATCTTGGCCTTGCTGAGGGCTACAAACACTCTTGGCTCTATGATACAATTGACTCCACCACAAACAGCCATCTCACAATCACCTGATAAGATAAAAACACATTTCATAGTCTCACATTACAAGTATCTGAATGCACTTTTTTTACGCGTATCCTTGTAATTAAAACCACAATGCTGTGGCATGGTTTTACATTGACTTCAGTTAGACACATTGCACAGACCTTGTTTAATGGATTGACAGGCAAGATGAAGAGCCACGAGAGATGACGAGCAGGCACAGTCTATGGACAGTGACGGCCCAGTGAAGTTGAAGATGTAGGAGACTCTGTTTGCTGCAATACTCATGGCAAGCCCTGTGCCGGTCCAGTGGTTGATCACACTTGGGTGCACGTGTGAAGCATTTGTCTCATAATCTCTGTTCATTAGCCCTATAATAAAATCAACATAAATACTGGTAAGAAAAGTGCACGTATGGATATTATTAAGAGCGTTAGATAATTCAAAGAACAGTAGTTGAATCCGATGGAAATATTACACAAAACTATAAAAAAAATAAAGCCGGTCACTGGCAACATGTACCAAAAAACACTCCTGTCCTGGTGCCGCTGGCTTTCTCCATAGGAATCCCAGCATTCTCCAATGCCCTGTAGACACACTGAAGGAGCTGTTTCTGTTGAGGGTCCATTTGCTCCACTTCACTGTCGCTGATGCCAAAGAACTTGTGGTCGAATTCATTGAACCTGAAAATATTCAAAAACAATTAAATCAAATTTACTTATTTAGTGATCATGCGTTAGTTTTAAAGAATATATATTGAAGAAAAGATGGACACACACTGAGCTCTGATCTTATTGTTTAACCAACGTTTCGACCACGCTTTCTTTCTCAAGACAAGTTCAATAAAGTGTCAGTTTAAAGAGGAAAATTTAAAGTAAAGCTACAAAGAAATGGACACACTTGTTTTCATTTACTCATTACAAAAAATAGTTCAGGGCCCAAGCTAAAGAATCAAACAATATAGAGACATGAGATTTGGTACAAACATTAAAATATAATTTACTCAATACGGAAAAAGTGTATAAGACTATCTGGACACACTTATTTACAAAACACATCAGTAGGCTGTTGTAAATAGTTCATAAAGTAAAGTTTAAATACCCGTCAAGGAGAGCAGCCTTGGCTGTGCGGGATTTACCCGGTTTGTTGTCATCAGGGTCATACCAGCTGGCTAAGTCAAATCTCTCTTTGGGAATTGGCACAGAACAGTTTCTTCCATCCACCAGAACTTTCCAGAAATTGTCAAGCCCTTCTCCTATTTTGAAAAAAACAAAAAAGCATATATATATATATATATATATGCCCATTGTCTTTAAGTATTTTATATTTTCATGACTTCCCTGGTTATGTAAACTCAAAGTTAAAGGTAGAAATTGTTACATGTAATGAAAAACAGACTTAAATTGAATAAAATAAAATGAGACTTTTTTGTTTAGTTTTACCAGGGATTCATGTGACCAGCCCCGATGGTTGTTAAAAGGTTATATGTGTCAAGTGAAAACATTTTTCTGTTAATTTCAGAGCTGATCTAATAATCTGGAAATCATCTAGTTTGTCTTTAACTTTTCTATGACCACTACAGGTATCTTAATATACGTTGTGGAAGAGGAATTCATCTTTAAATGGCAAATATGCAGATAAAATATGAAGAAACAAAAGAAAACAAGCCAAAACTAAACTATCCCAAATTCAAATAGCTTACCCCCTGGAAAATTGCATCCGATGCCCACCACAGCAATACTGTCTTCAGCTTCCTCCATTCTGACTGAACATCACTGAGAATGAAAATCAAAAATCTTTACTGAGGTCAACGTCTCTCTTTCTAACGGGCAGCATCACATCCAGTAATAAATGTGTTCAGCATTCTTTAAAACTGTGTAATTAGTCCCGCTGTGTCGTGCACCGGTGCATCCTTACATCCATTTCGTTGCCTTTTCCCTGAGTGATGGTATCACCGCCGTCTGATTCTTATAGCCAGCTTCTTTTCTTTATTAAACATTAATGATTGATTGTGTTCGTGGCCATGGAGATGAAGGACTCCAGTGCACACGTTTATGGCCTTGCAAATGATTAGACGTCGTTTAATGAGTGAATCAATATGTTATCCCACGACGGGGTGACTCAAGGTCTTGTTTCATTGACGCTTATCGCAGTTATACCATAACTAGAAAATCAAACAATCACTCAAGGGAATTTTAACTTTAAAAGGGGTAACGTTTTAAATCTAAATCTAATTATAACAATGTCATCATTGCCAATGCATAATGCATACATCACCTTAAGGAGGAGAGTGGTCTTAGTTCACCTTCTGTTAGCTTTATGTTGTGATTAGATACGTTGAGTTCAAGGTTGATGTTGAAAGATGAACTCTGATAAACTCTGGAAGAAGTGGAGGCTTTTAATGACAAGCCATCGTTTTCAGATGTTTTACGGCATCCAATAGACCCCATACAATGCAATTATGTGTATAGCTTATTACATAAACTATTTTTATATAAATAACTTTGGACACATTATGCAACTAATATTTACCATGTTCTCATGGGAACTGACAAAGACTACTTTAATATACATAGAGAAATTGTTTTAAAGTTTTAACAAACGCTGAATGTTAAAGAAAATGTAACGTTCTCAAAGGTACCATGTTTACTTTTATTTTTACTGTGTTCTCGTTAACTATGTCAAATCAGTGATTTCACCGAAACCAATTAAAGCATTCTCACACGCTATGACTAAGATTTCATCTTTGGTTTCAGTTTGATAATTTGACCAATTGAGTTTCATAGAACGCCATCAGTTCTTCTGATGCTCATCTTATCTGCAGCTACTTGTGTATATTCCCAGTGCGTGTCCAGTACACATTGAGCCGTTATCGCTGTTTTATTGCCTTCATCAATCCACCGCTTGCACACAGAGATCATAAGGTGGTATTAAAGTTATTGACTCAGATTGTCTTTATTACTCTCCGTCAAAAAAGTCTAGAGGTGAAATCAGGGCGGACGTATTTGGGGAAGGCAGCTTGTGCCAAGTCAGTTGTTGAGGTCATTTATCTAACAACTTATAAACTAATGTGAACAACATCACATGTTAGTTGATAGCGGCCTTGACGATGTCTTAACTGTTTCAAAAGGACTAAATAGTTGCTTTAAGTAAAAAAAAAATCTAAAAAGCCAACAACAAATATAGAACCAAAATACATGGAGAAGGGATACAATAATACGTGTTGTCATGTTGTGCTGCTAGCTGTTCACTTGTTCAATGTCAATAACTATGTTGTTGACCAAAAATATCAATTGTGTGCAAGTAGGAACAAAAACAAAAGGGACGGATTGTAAAACTTGGGTTTAATGCCAGAAAATACAGAACAACATTAGCGACATGAAGAAAACCCTTTTAATCCACAATTTCATCCAAATATCCACTACAAAGCCATTGTAAAAATGTATAGAAAAGTATTAAAGATTGTGATCATTTAGTTAGTTAGAATTATAATCTTTATATAAGTTATATAATTGACTTAGTATTTTCTTTATTAGAAAGAGTGCCATGAGTGTTATGAGACTACTGTATGTTAGTAAGTAAACAAACGAAAAATCATATCAAGATAATGTTTTGACACATCAGTGTCAGTGAAATATATTGCAAAGAAAACCCTGTAAACGGAGGGATTGTGTTTTGGAGCCGCTCTGCCTCTTCACCACGGTATCGACAGCATCTGACAGCTCAAATCCCAGAACTTCTGCGCCAGGACGTCGTCTTTACCGGCCGCTGAGCAGCTGGCAGGAGCACAGTCGCTGTGAGCAGACACGTCAGATAGGTGAATTCAAAATTCACATGTACAAAGCCATGTAGCAGTTATTTCAGATGGATAGCGCCCGTTTATAGAAGACCGAACTGCCCACACACCAAGAAATCTTTTACCAGTTTTGTTACTATATTGTGAATTAGGTCGGTGGTTCCCAATCCAGGAGGTTGCAACTGATGAATCCAAAAGTTTGCATGACAAATTACAGGATTAATACATTTTACATTCACTTGTTCACCACCAATCATCCTCCATAAAAGGTATCAGGTGTTGCCGATGAGCTGCATGTTTAAAACAAAGTGTACCTGTAGTATCCACCGCTCTCTTTCTCCAGCGACGGTTCCACCGCGCAGTAAATGCTCGTCTGAGCTCCCTGGGAAGAGTTTTTGGTGAAGGGGCTGACCATCTTCATTAAGAACTGCTGAGGGCCGTTCAGATGACGCCACAAATCCGTCTTGACGACTCCAGGGTGGAGAGAATACGTTGTCACGCCTGTGCCTGAAAGACACGCCACCACCCAATTCACCGTTACTGTACAACATGAGAGACACAGTGTGTGAACAATGGAGGACAACGCACACCTTCTAGTTTCTTAGCCAACGAGTGGGTGAAGAGGACGTTGGCCAGCTTGCTCTGAGAGTAGGCGGCCTTCTTGTCGTAACTCTTCTCGCTGTTGATGTCCTCCAGATTGATGGAGCCCCAGGAGTGAGCCATGGAGGACACCGTGACAATCCTGGCCGGTGCCGATCTTTTAATCAGGTCGATCAACAAATGCGTCAACAGGAAGTGACCTGGGGGAACAAGGAAATGACTTTCATGTTGACTTTATGTGTCCCGATGTAAGAAACTTGTCAATTTCTAGGTTGTTTCTGTTGTCGGTCTTTGTTTAAACCGACACTCAGTAGTAAATAATGGCAAGTACATGTCAGCATATTTCAATGTGGTAGAAAACTGGGAGGAACTGTAACTGGCAGGCCTGGGCTGACAAAATGCTTAGTCTAAAGGGATGTTAAAAATGGTCTTTGATTAAAGTATAAATACACAATTAAGAAACTGGACAGCTAGAAAAAAGAGACGATTTTATTGAGCGATCAAGTTTGTGAATTTATGCGAAAGTTCTGTCCAATAAGACACAAAAGTCACACATTTCTCAGTTATATTTACTCCGTCCTTATAATTTCGACCTATTTATGGAATTTTCATACCAATAGTGTAATAAAATAAACCTGACTCTCAGTGAGAGAGTGTTGATCAAAACAACAGACCAGGAAGTTATTAAAGCAACAGTCTATAAACCTTGACAGGGACAAATGTTCTGATTGGGGGGGGTCATAAACTGGACTCTTTATCTTACCACGAGACTATTTGTCTTATCAGACACCAGCGCACCAAGCCCCAATACCAACACCAATAAATACTTGACAGTGTTTCACAAACTTTTCTTTCTGGGAACCCACTTTTAAAAAAGTGACAAACCATCAATAGGCCTCATTTATAAATAGTGAGAAGACCATTTTTACTGCCATTTCTGCATAATCTTATATTATCATTTAGAAGCGATCTACGTTTGATAAAACACAACTTTGTTTTGTGTTATTATATACATATGTTGCTTTATAAATGGGACCAAATAAATGCATTTAGGTGGAGTTAACAGGCAATCCCGTCTTTTCTTTTCCTCTCATGAGTAAAACAATGTGAGCTGTTCTTTGATGTAGTAGACATTATCAGAACAATGCAAACATTCAGGCTCCCTCGTGTGGCTCAAACGTGTACTACAGATATACATCTTAACTGAGGAACGATGGGATGTTTCTGACCCTATAAAATCTCCTGCGACGTATATACACGAGAGCCATCTACAGCTGAGTGCGTGAGGTTTTAAAGTGACTTGGTGATCTTTTTTTCTGAATACCTGTATATGTATAAGTTCTGTTATAATGAAAGAAAGCAGAAAATCTAAATAAATCTGCTCAAAAAACAGAACAAAATACATGCAGAGGTTCATTTAAAATAGATTCTATATAACAGGACACCATAGTAGTAATACACTGGGCATTACATTACTGGGCATTACTGGGTGGTGTATTAAGGCCAGAAAAGTCGTTTCTTGACTCGTTTCCTCATGACACAGGTAAGAGACTACATAGTGTTATTTACCAAAGTGATTAACGCCGATCTGCATCTCAAAGCCGTCGGCTGTTTTCCCATAAGGACAAACCATCACACCGGCGTTGTTGATGAGGAGGTTGAGCTTCGGCTCTCCTGTGGAAAAGGACAATAAGAAGTTAAATAGTTTTGTCTCCTTAAAGTCCCTTTATGTGTACATTGATCTAAAATGATCGGGTTCACCTTTATTAACGGCTTCAGCGAATTCTCTAATCGACTTGCTGTCTGCCAAGTCGAGTTTCATGCAAACAACATGTTCGCTGCCTGAGATTTCAACGACTTCTTTCACAGCGGCCTGTCCTCGCTCCATGTCCCTGCACGCCATGATCACCTTGGCCCCTGAACAGAAAGACGAACAGCAGTGAACTACAGCAGCATGAGAAACATCTGTTTATTGCCAAGTACACATACACATACAAGGAATGTGACTAGGTGAACGGTGCATAACAATAAACACAGTGCAATAGTATGAGACACAACTTCAAAATACAAATAACAGTACGTTAAAACAAGTATATTATTGAAGTGACACGTTGTATTAATAGAGGAAAGATGTGCAAGACCTTCACCCTTCGTGTTGACATACGTATCTTGCTGTTTGTTTAATGGAGATTTGATATTCTTATGAGTAGAACTGTTTTATAACTTGTTGTGAAACAAGTCGATCATATGCTTGTATCATGTGATTTGTGATCCATGCAGCAGCTGACTGCCTGCACACATATCCTTCTTGTATATTCACATGTTCTATGCCTTAAGGATAAAAACGTATACATCTGTGTGTGTGTGTGTGTTGTTACACAGATAAAGCACCTCTTATACTTTAACTACCACGGCCTGAAACAGCCCTGACTCATGCGGACAGTTCAAAGAGCAACTTCACAGAATCCAAGAGAACTTTGACCTCCTTTGTGCGTTATCAGAAGATATTTGCGGCATTCACAGCAGCCGTAGTTAGCCTGCAGTGTGTTGTATACGACCGTGGTGATGCTTAAAACTGGCCGTATAACCGCGCAGCGACAGCCCTGAGCGGACTCTGTAAGAAGGCTTTCCTGCCATCTATGAACCTGGAAGACATCACACCAAAGAGACATCGAAGACTGCAACCATATCACAACATGCTGAGGAGCAGTTCAACGACAGCGCAAACTCGAGGATGCCCAGCTGACAACGTATCAGGCGTATCGAGCAGGCGGCGGGGCAGACCCCAGAGAGGGACCGACCAACACACCCACATCACAACACAGAGGGTGAGTTAACTTTAGATTCCGACTATGACAAACAATCTGACAATCTGAGTCCAGACTCCTGGACTGCTGCCTTTAATGACATAAAGAGCGCTTTACTGTCAGCTCTGACACTTGGACTACCTACACGCTGACCTAAAGGGACGATTACATGACATCAGTTTGGACTCGGACCATGGGAGAAAACAAAGACATGTTGCATATTTCTCTACTAGACTAGAGCCTGCAGCAGCTGGTCTTCCCCTGTGTCTGCATGCACGTGACATTGTGGGTTATGCAGATGGAGGGTTTTAACTCCAACTAGAACAGTAATATACATGATGCAAGTAACAATGACAATGCTCTAAGTGGATGTGAGGATCAGTGAGAAGTGTCGGGCCCACCTCTCTTCGCCAGGTCGATGGCTGTCTCCTTGCCGATGCCAGCGTTAGCGCCGGTGATGATGGCCGTTCTGTCGTCTAGTCTCTCCGCAGAGGACCAGGCAGCCCGGAAGACGTTTCTGCAGCATTGAGAAACCAGAGTTGCCCAACTGTTAGTGACTCAACACAAGCACAACTGGGTGTGATGTGAACAAAGCAAACAGCTAGTACAACAAATTAATACGTTTGCTCTCAACTTAGGCAAAACTAATACTTGTATTAACTATAATGTAGCGATTCAATTGTAAACAAAACTAGCTAGTTTAAAACTAAAACTACATACATTATTCAGACAGCTGGAGTGTTTTCATGACTATAAGAAGTCCTCACCTTATTGCCTCCATCTTTCTTTACTACAGCAGTCAGTTGGTTATCTGATGAAACACCGAACTAACTAAAAAACCTGAAAACGACTCTTCTACCTCAGTTTTAACGGCTCAGTAATCACACAAACTTCTTAAAAGGCGTCAGGTTGAAATTTGGCAATGCGGAACTGTCATTGTTGTTGCGTTTGATCAGCTGTAATTTCAGCCAATCGGCTGCAGCCAGTTTTCGTTCGGTCAACACTGATTGGTTGAGCTTCGAGCTTTAGGCCCGCCCTTTAAAGTGTGCTCGATTATAAATACGGGCTGAGCCGGAAGGGTGGGGAGCAAAAAATAAAGTTTTCCTTTATTGATAATTTAAACATATAAAACATAATTTAACATTATTATTATTATTATTATTATTATTATTATTATTATTATTAATAGCAATAATAACAACAATAATAATAACATGAATAACAACAAAATCATCATTGTCGGTATAAATATTATTATTAATAACAACAACAACAACAACAACAACGTTACTATTGATAATAATCAAACCATCACCAATGTCATTATTATTGTTATTATTATTATTATTATTTTTTACATACATACGTATTAAAACGCTGACATCTTCAATAAATAATTAAAGTATAATTTAAGCAAAGTAAAAAAATAATAAATAAATAATGGTAAACAATACCACATTTGGCTGGTCACATTGTTTTATTTGTATGTTTTAATGATACCAAAGAAATAACCAACACTAACTAATTAACAGGTCCTTCATTTTGTAGTCTGTAAACCGATGTAACACAACTGTGTGTGCCTGTGTTTAAAAATACAGCACACCGTTCTGTGTATTAGTGCGCAACCTCTTTTAAAACACGTCTCACAAAGTCTTATCTATAAAAACAAAGAAAAAAATCACAAACAAAAGCAAGAAAAACCCACTTGCTCTCCAGAAAAGAAAACCCTCATCATTCCTCAGTATTCCTCTCTCTCCAGCAGGTGGCAGCCAGCGACCGTCTACCACCACGAATCAGCTGTGGGAGCCTGTTTCACTGTGACACCAGCCCTGTTTCACTGTGACACCAGCCCTGTGTTACTGTGTTGTGTCTATGGACAGATTAACAGGTTGGTATTTGGGCAAATCTTGTCCTTGGCTCAGATCTCACTCTGCTGGCAAATAATTAGAAATGACTGGTCAAAGTTCACCAAAACACCATGAATGGTTCATTCATACGCTACAGACAATAACACAGCATACAGTGGGACTACATGGTGGACAGAAGGTCATTAGAACAGGAAACACCTAGCCAGTCATCAGCTGATTGTGTGAAAGCAAACATTTCCTTCCCTTTTCTCTGCGATAGTCAGCAAAGGAGTGTTTGTGTGTGGGTGTGTGTGTGTGTATATATTGTGCAGAGTAAAAGACAGATATAGTTGTGTGTTCATGTCAAATCAAGTTTGTGTGCACCTATTCTGATTGTGTCCTCCTGACCCACCACCTCCCCTCCTTTACTTCCTCCTCCAAGTTTATTTAAGCAACAAGTGGTGGTCAGTCATACAGGAAGTGGTTGTAAGTGGATTCATTTTGTCATATACTGTATGACAGCATGGCTTATTGTGATGGCCTCTCAGTAAATCATCTAGTTATGTAACAGATGCTCTGTGGTTCAAATGGAAACCCAGACAAAAACACTCAGGTGAATATTTGACTATCCAGGATATCTTATTTTTGCTATTGTTTATGGGCTACTGTTTCGTCATTAGCGGCAAAAAATAAACATCCGACATAACAGTTTACCTAAGCTATTACTGGCGCCGCATTAGCAGCTTCCCAGAGGCCAAAGACAATGGAGAGGCAGGAGGATGCACTGAATAAACCATGAGAACAATCCATCAGCTATAATGGGACTATTAACGTTACTTTGCCAGATGTGTTTTTGTACATTTTAATACAGAGGGGAGAAAACACAAATAAACAAGTGAGAGCAGAAGGAGAACATCTTATGATTGTGCAGGTTGGTGACTCGGTTTAGAAGTAATAACTGTTGAATTTAACAAAACACAATGAAACACAAGAAATGTGGAACATAATCCAAATTACTGCACAGTAAAGGTCACTCTGCTAAGTGTTTGAGTGGAAGGGGACTTTAAATATTCTATCAATAAATGTAGAAAAACTCCTTTTCATCAAACTGTTTTAAAGAGGAGTTTTTCTCTAAAGACTGACTTTGCAGTAGGGATACACTTAGGCTGAAATGCCCACGATAAACAATTCAAAATATAGTAATTTATTTAGAGAATAACTGATTAAAAAAACCCTCCTTTTTCTTGCCCTTTAAAAGAGGTCAGCAGCAGAGCAAGCAGCCCAACTGTTTACATTATAACATATCTCTCAGCAGTCTGGCTTGTACAGAAAGTTCTCATCTACAAAAGCCCCATAATCATCTGAAGCTGTGGGACACGATAAACATCTCCACGTGTCCTTATCTCCTGTCTCACCTTCACTGTCCAGACACACCTTTGGTCCATCACTCACATTCTGTTAAGTCTGGCTAAATGTGCTGCACCCCCCCCCCGTCATGCTTCTGTATTTAGTTTCTCGCCCTCTTAGCCGCCCTCACCTCTTTGAGTTACATAACACATGAACGCTGCCATTCATTGGCTCAGCCCGTTTCTCTTTACTGATCCAATCTCCCACTTGTACTGGCTTTTGCAACTGCTGCTCCGTTTCCCAGCGATACGGATCTATTCCTTCATAATTACGGCCCTCTTTTGAAATAGAGGTTCTGCTCCACACCAGATGACGGGCTCCTTCATCTCACCACTGCACTGTTGACTGACACACACACTGCAACGTTTAGCTCCGCCATCAGTGTCCTTCATAATTGGGCTAAAGCCTTTTTTGTCTTGTTTTGTTTGCTCTGGATAAATCAGCACGAAGATGCAAACACAAGAGGGTCATTTAAAGGTCGTCCTGTTTCATGCAGCCCAGAGTTGATTCCCTTCGTGTATCCAAACATACAACATGTTTTTTGAAAAAACAAAACAAGGTTCATGTTACATAACAGCTCCTCCTTCGGGGCTCAAATCAGATGTTTTTGGTAGATATGTACAGTTTGTGTTCTATGCAGAAAACTGAGCACAGAATGAATAGAAAATACAGAAAATCGCTCATCGTGAAATCACTAAAACAGTTGCAGAATATTGTGTGCTCATATAAGACTCCATCCCTTGTAAGAAGCCGATTAAAAATAGGTTTGCAGGCCCTTTGATTCTGAAATATGCACCAGAAGCATTAGTCAGCTTTCTGCAGATACCCACCTTTCAGCTCCCTCCCTTCATCTCCACCTTTTGATCTTCACTGTTTCCTCTTAGTGGCGGCATGAATCGTCACAGCTGAACCTCTGTGTCACTTTGTCACAGAAAATTGGACGACAGTGAGCAGCGTCAGTGTCAAGAGAGTGTTTCAACAACAACCTGAAGCCATTAATGTGCTCTGGCTCTGTCCATCAAAGAGACAATTCAACGCAAGATGGCACTGTGGTGGATTCAGGTTGTGTTGCCCTTTGAGGGTGAGCAGACAGTCATCGGGGCCCCGCTATGAGCCCCAGGAAACAGGCGCTCGGTGCTATTTATAGAGCTGTCTCATGGAGTCAATACTGTAGTTCAGAGATATGAAAGTGAGCCCCTGTGGGGGGAAAGGGTGGCCCGTTTTAATGGCTGCTTTATGACATTTACAGCAACATATTTCAGTGTAAAAGATCTAGTGGATTTGGATTAAAACGGTGGCATTTTATTAATTCAGCGGACTGCACCGAGAGAATAAGATGCTAACGCGTTATTCTTCATCAAGATGTTTTTTAAGAAGCTTGCTTGAAATTCGGTTCAGTTAAAGGGGAATCTCTGTTGACACGTCCGACATTCATTTGGAGATAAACTGTTAACGTTAGTAAGAAAGATGTAAAAGAAACAGACAGAAAGCTGCAGTATTGGTTATTGCCTCTCCCGCTGTCGTGTTGACAGGGTTATGCTGGCTAATGATATGCCTGGTATGAATCACTGAGGCAACCTGCAGGCATTGAGCATACGGTCAAGTCCTATATTTACCAAACACTGAGAGGCCACATCGTTGAGTCCAACCAGTTATAATAAGATCATCAGTCATAATATGTTTGTATTTGGTGGAAGCATTTTTCAGTCAAAGGTAAAACCACCCAGATATGTTTAAAGTCTGGCACCAATGCAGAATTCCTTCTTTTACAGGTTCCTTTGTTTTGTCTTAACAAACGTGCTCGCTCATTTATTGCCCTCCATCTTTGAGCTGCTCAAACTGTAAGTAGGTCAGGGAGCGTTTGAAATGCCAATCGGCTGGCAGTTATTGTAACAGGTTACCGAAACACCATTGTCTTTTCTGTTAATATTATTTTGATAAGCCAGAGAACTCCACATATTCTGCACATTAAACTCTTGCTTCAATATTTCTATTATTATAGCTGTGAAGCAACACATATGGGACATCTAATTTGTACGAGAGATTCACATATTTCAGTAATTTTATGCAATCTGGCAGCAAACATCTTGCTTTTTTGTTCCTTAAATGACGTCTTGTGGATCTTTGATTGTTTTATGATGTTCGTACTGTGGGAGAATGATTTTTCTTGTACCCTTTCACAAGCATGTGTGGTAACTGAGCCTGTACTATCTTTACATGCCCTCTCCTCGACACATTTATTTCCCTTGTCGTTCCAGATGTCACCTTTGCCAAATACTCTACATGGGAGCGGCACACTCATGTCATTCAGCCTTCAGAGTCTAATTTATTATTTTACACCTGCAAATATAATATATCAACCAGTAGGAACCACTTTATCAATAATCTTTACTTTTATTGCTGTTTAAGTGTAACCCTCGGGGCTGGATCCAGTGACAGCGTCCTCGTCCTGCAGACATTCAGTACCAGGTGCAGCTCCGGAACTCAGTATGACACACTGACCCTTCAGCAGTTGAGCAACTGGTCTCAAGCCCAGCAGCCACAGAGAAACAGTGTCAGGCTGCATCGTCTGAGCCTTGTGTTGAATGCATGTATTTATAAGTGGATAAACAATACGTGCATGAATGAATGAAGGATGATACAGTTGTTCGTGTCAGGGCTGTGAGAAAATGAGAAGGAAAACTATAATAATTTGTTTGTTTGAACTGGGATTTCTGTTTATTTTATGATTATTAAACATCTATTGTTATTGTACAACAGATGAAATATTATTTGAATCAAATGATTAGAAGAGTCTTAGACTGTATCTAGAAATTAATGTTTTCTGCCCGTCACATGAGGTTTGTAATGCTTTTATACTCCACACTTACACCACCTCATGCTTTACAGAATATCTCATAATTCATTATTAATTCATCACAAGAAGTGGGAGCACTGTTGTGATGGCAAATATATCTTTAGCAACTATTATTTACTTGTCATATCGCCCTGAAATTAACAATCAATAATGCAGTTGCAATTGTTTGTGTTTCTATGAGTGAACCTCATCTTGTAGCCTCAGTATTCAGGGTTTAGACGGAGCCACATGGAAGGAGCAGCTGCAAGCTTTCTGATGAATGACTCTGTGAAGACTGCTGGGAGGATCCATCACTGTGTGCCTCTTTTCATGGATTATCAAAAGGCATTCAAATTCTTACCAGAATATCTAACTAAGCAAATGATTATCTGTTGGTCAGGATGATTTTGCATGGCCTTGAAGTACTGAGGTTATATTTGGTGTGCTAATAAATAAAACTATTTAATCTTAACCCTCAGTATGTCTATATCTGTATCTCATTGTGTTACGGCAAGATTCACCAATTTAACACATAATTTACTGGTCTTGAGGAATAGCAATGTACAACAACTTCATACAACTGGTTTCACAATTGTATTACGTCAGGAGACAGACACACATTTGGGCAACTTACCTACCTGGTTAGGTTTAGTATAGGACCGTGGTTTGGGTTAAAATAAGTATTAGTTTTTCGTAGGCTTAGTAATTTGACGTGATATAAGTTGAGTACTTTCTGTTATGTACTTATATAACTTCAGGTAAGTCAGCATTGGTTTCACACAAGAAACGAACACTGGTCTCCCGAGTGAAAGTCCCGTGTTTGTTTGACCCTTATGTCCATTTATACTATGTCCCCTGACTTCCAGAGAAGTTGCTCTGAGCGTCTAATGTTGCTGCGGATGATTTAACATTGGAGAGAGCCTGGTGTGTCTCAGATGCTGAAGCTTGCCATGTGCTTCGACATGAGACGCCACCATGTTTTAGCACCATCGGCCTATTTACTTTACTTTAAAACAGCCTGTAACTGAAGTTAATATTTGTTTTTTGAATAATTTAATAATCTAAAGAGATATGCAAGGACCTGAATGCATCTCTGTTCTTGCTTATTTTGCAGTCTCGCTTACAAAAACCTGGAAATTTGCCATATTTCTCCACTGAGGTGAAGTCACGACTAGGCGTTATGTTAAACACTTACATACTGTACATACACAGAATGTCTGTCCTCCCAGCTGCTCTGTGGTCATCAACAACTCTGAGGAAAATACTCGACATCTTACACGCAGAAGATGAAGAATGGCTACTGTGAATAGACTCAAATACATTATGCTCCTCAGCGTTGTCATGCAAAGCACGTCTCCTCTGCCCAGTTTTGTCATTGTCAAAAAGGGAGAAGTGGTCCGTTACAAAAGCAGGGCAAGGAGCTCTTTGCTATTCACCGGACACTTTCACAGAAAAAATGAGCTGCAGAGCCGGGGGGTGGGGGGGGGGGCGACAGAAAACTGGACTTTCAAAAGAAAACTGAGCCAGAGCACATGGCGGAGAGAGGACCTCGCAGGGTTCATATGCATCTGAATGAGTGAGTGACATGCCGGGTTTAAGCTGTGATCCTTGACGCTTCTTTTCAGTCTGGCAGAATTAAAATGGTTCAGCCTTTCACTCTTGATATTCCATTCATGTCCTCGGGTGCTTGTCCCCGAGCGGATCTCAGGTCTGAGCAGATGTTTAACACGAACCATCACCAAGAAAGATATTGCATAAACATGTTCGTTGACCAACAGAAACAAGCCAGGCCCTCATGGATTCATTGTGGTTTTCAAGAGATTTCCCAAATACAAAAAAATATTTGTACATTTCTCATTGGAAATGACGTCTCAACTTGAACAACGTGTTAGGTCGTCATGAGTTCATCAAAGTAAAACCAAGCAAAAACAAGCCGAATTAACTCAAGAAGAGTTGAATCAACAACTGTTACGTTTCCATGGAACCATTTCTTTATTTGCTGCAAAGACGTGTAAACCTGTAAAGACAAGTTTACATCATGTATGTTTTATTTGAGCTACAAAAGAACACGGACGACAATGCATCTGCTAAGTATGTTTATGCTAACGGTTTATTCATTCAACTCATCATTTCAAGTTTAAAGACCTCAAGGAAAAAAATACTCATCAGAAGACATTTTTAAAAAACTAGAAATTTTAAGTTGAAATTCATAAAATACATACATTAAGGTTAATGACAAAAGATGAGATGATTCCACAACTTTCTGTATGATGTGGATGGAGTGTATGGAGGCGAATGGGTCTGTAGAAGATGCGTTTAAAAATCCTTCGTTTGCTTGATTGTCACACTCACCCATCAGGAGATGAACGGGTGGCAGGTGGTGGAGAAAAGCTAAAACGGTGCTGAAATCATTACGCATAGACAGAGGCTCTATTGCTACTCCCCACATGCCATACACTGCAAATTGAGGGGAAATTGAAGGAATTGTTTGTCACTGCAGGCAACTGGCTTTCAGTCACTCCGGCTTCAGATGGGAAGCAGACAATAGGGAGCTGGCCTGGTTTCTGTGCCTCCCCTATAGGACGTGCAACAATGTTATTGGAGGGGAGACTTGGCTCATAGGGTGTCTACACTGAATCCCCCACACCTCCCAGCTACCCATCTCCCCCTGGTTTACATGCGAGAAAGCCTTCTCACTTCTATAAGAGCCAAGAGCCAAACAAGTGTGTGTCTGTGTGCTTGTGCTGGATTTCTCCAGGGACTAAACCGGGGAGAAATGGAGTAAAATGTTCACGTCTTATTTCATCGTATGTGGACGTGACTGACAGACAGATGGTCTTCCTTAGGTGAGGTGGGAGACCTTCCATATGTCAGGAAGACCATCTGTTGAAAAGGAACATTTTAAATGTAGAATTCCTTAAAAAGACTTTGAAACAAAAGGCCTCTGTATGTGATACAATCTGGTGTTTGTTGGATTTTATTATCTGCAAACATTTGCTATGGTGGGATTTATTGTATTGCTACTCTGTCATTTTCTATATTATACAGTCTATATGGTATGTATTTGGGATGTGCAGAGTGTTGAGAGTTTCTGGATGGTTACCATATAGTACATTAATCTTTTAAAGGACGGATGATGAATTATGGCTCAGAGAAATGAACAAAGGGAGAGAAGACCGACGACTGCAGGGCATCAGGTTCCTGGAAACCCTGTTCTAATGTTCATCCTACAGAATGATGGATTATCGCTTTTGGTTGGATTCACTCACTATATTAAAATGCACCAGTCACACCATCAGCCCCTGTGATGATACTGGTACAATGATATTATGAATCTAAAGCACGCAAATCCAAGGTATTCACGATCGTTCATGATTTGTACCAAGAAGGATTTATTTGTAGAGGATGCAAAAAATAAAAAAAATTGAAATATATACATTCTTTAAGCCCTTTACTTTAAGTACGTAATCAAGTAAATAGCATTTAACAGTGATAGTATAAAGAAATCCATACATTTTGGTTTTCATAACACCACAGATGCTATTTCTGCTTATTTCATGCTCCTTGTGTACTCACGTTTCCTCACTGCCGAATCCTAAATTTTTACTGCTGCAATGACCTCATTTCTTGACTGATTGACAATGTTTCATCATATCTTATCTTCACTTTTTACTGTACCTGCTAACTACCAGTTACTCATGTGGGTGTAGTGGCAGCCATTAGCATGATGTGGCAAAAGATTGTGGTGAAAGGGCATAACCTGCTTAAAAGCAGAGGTAGTCCACCCCAACTGTTGAGGATGCATAAGGTCAAGACTGACTGTTCCCCCTGCAATACTTTACTGCTCCTATCGAGAGGTTAAGACCACGAGACACAGAGCGAGAACAAATAAAATACAGTAATAACATGGTCATTAAAGGAGACATTAAAGGAGACATATCATGCTCATTTTTAGGTTCATACTTGTTTTTTGGGTTTCTAGTAGAACATGTTCACCTGCTTTAATGTTCAAAAAACATTTCTATTTTCCTCATGTTGTCTGTCTGCATGCATCTGTTTTCACCCTTTGTCTCAAACGCTCTGTTTTGGTGCCTGTCTCTTTAAGCCCCCCTTACTCTGCTCCGATTGGTCAGCGTTTTTTCAATCTTCTGAATCAGCTTCTGTCACCGTCTTCACAGCGTCACTGCAGACGCGGACTCGCTGTGTGTGTCTTCTACACAGTATTTATTTAGCATCTGGACCTGCTTCAAAATTAAAAAAGACATTGATTAAAGTTGGTTAAAGGTCCCATATTCTAGACAGTGAAATTTCAAAGTAAAAATCATTTGTATTGACAGCTATGTCACCCTCGTCACTTATAAGAGAACTACACCATTTCAGCATTGCACTCTGCGTTTTTCCAACATTGTCGGTCTCATAAAAGAAATTGGGTGAAATCATTGCAGCAGAACCAGAGATATTGTCTTTCAATTCCATGCAGTCTTCTTGTCAAAAGCAGCTGCCTACATTACCCACAATGCAACTTGACTGCAGACGGTTCTGTTTGTAGACTTGAGCAGCCAGCCTCATTCAGAGATGAGGAGCGGGCTACAGATATCTGGTAAACTCAGTCCTTTCTAACTCCACACATCCAGACATATTTTACACTTTCAACCTTGTATTCTTCAGCCACAACCGACTGCTGGCTCAAATGACATCACATGAAATGTAATTTCGCCATGTTTTCCTATCTGATCCAGTAATGTTCCGGCCTGATATTGAGGTCTTTGGGAAACTCACACAAGCCACAGGCCTGTTTGACTGACAGAATCAGGTTTAAAGTCTGAGGTGAAAATTGAGATCTCATTAAACCTTTCTGCCTCCGATGTTTAATGGTCAGTGAGCATGCAGTCTAACAGAATTACAGCCAGCGACTGTGCGTTTGAGGCTTTGGATTAAAGCTGCTGTGTGCTATATTAAGATAATGAGATCTACTTTCTAAGGACGGATCTTAAGAAAGACCTTGACACATAACTGAGAACGAGACTCTAACCAGCTCGGCACATTATTACAACGGTTTTCATTGTTTCTAAAAGAAATAGTCAGCAATGAGGGAGTCCTGTGTTGAGCCAGAACCAGAACTAAGCCTCAGGCGCAAACCACCCCTGAATTAACACAATTTAAACTGGCTTAATTATTAGTAAATGCGGACCTTTGTTCATTCATAATCATCTTAAGGGAAATGCTTGTGCAGAAGCAGGAAACTGGCAGATGTAATCCCTGTTAACCTGAAAACAGAGTTTTGTTGTGACTCAAAATATTGGCCTCTGAAACACCTTTTTATCTTATTGGGGTAAGTACAATCCTCCCTTATTTATTGGATGTTCATTTTGTTTATGCACCTTTATTTGAGTGCTGTAAGAAACAATGCTTGACTGCATTTCACCTCATTTTGAATTTTAAAATAGAAAAATGCACTTTGACAATGTGATA